TAAAATAACGATCTCCCATCAGGGTGTCACGAGAGACGAGATAAATATGGGTATTTGAGCGCGGCAGATAATGCAAACAAACCAACGGTGAGTTATGTTTCCCGCTGTATATACGGTTTGTCCGCAATTGCGATACGCTCCCCGTTAAATTTGCTTTGAATTACCGCCGATAGTGCGACATGGCCCGGGTTATTATTAGTCCGTGATTCGCGTACGGTCCATTAACATGACCTTGCGGCGTCGACATTTTCAATCCCGACCGAAGCCGCTTCCTGAAGATCTCGACCGGTTCCTTGCGATATCATCTTCTCCATGCACTTCCTCGCTCTCCTCTCTCCGTCTCTCTCGAAAGAAATTGGAGGAAAAATATACCTTATATTAAAAGAGTTAGAGGAGAGTTTTCTATAAATTTAATTTTAGGTGCGGCTGTTGGTTTTTCGAGAGTTTTGTAACGCGCGCGAACATGTAAATTTTTATCTTAATATTTTACATCTATTTTAATGTGAGGCAGCTTATAAATATTGAAAGAGATTTAAACTCTTTCATAACAGTCTTTCATAACAATTCACGTCAGTGTGTATGTCGTTAATACTCTACAAACCTAGTCTTTATTGCTTTATATATTTCTTAAACGAGAACGACCGGCGTGGCGCTTTATCGCGACGTGAGTCCCGACACGACCGCGGTAGGTAGGTAGGTAGATAGGCGATACCAAGATGCCATGATAGCCATCGAGCTGGATGTCTTGACGGTGGGGAGCAGGATGATCTTACGATCCACGATGTCAAGTGATTACAGCTATTTTGTGCCACTTGTACTTATTAGGGGTGATACGCCAGTCCGAGCGACCATTATGAGTGCCATCTGAATCTCGGCCTCTTGAATGCCTCCATTTACCATTAAGCACATTACTATTATCCTATCACGCGCTCACTCGGCCAAAGGGACTTCTTTGATTTGGCCATGATGCACGAAGCCATTTGTGCAAAGTGGCCGTTCATTACTAAATTATGCCGGTTTTATAGCATTACATTAAACCCAGCCTCGGCCGTGCCGTAGGTACGGGACCTTCGAAAAAACTCGCGTTAAGCAGGGGTTACTCGTGCGAGTTTTCGCCATTCTGATTTTTTCCCCTCTCCCCCCTCGCTTCTTTTATTTTCCCTGTCTCTCTCTCCCTCGTTTTCGCGTAAGCGCATCAAGCACACTGTGGACTCCCAAGCGTTTGTTCCGAGCACGCGGCCACTTAGCTCCCTCCTCTAATAACCGCAACACTGTTACCGACAGTCGTGTCTGTAATGCGCATATAATTAATGATAATAATGCGGCCGCGAGCGGCGGACTACATCGCTCCGCCTGGTTTTTGTCCGTTGCACGATACGCTCCGTAATGAACCACCAAAGATGTCAGAACCAGTTCTGTATCTGCTTTCGGTCGCAACATCGGCGAACGTATACGAGTCTGTTGGATTACAGATGCGAACGTTTACCCGTGATTCAGCCGCATAATGAACACCGTCGAGTTGTCACTAAAGAATATTTATAGCCGTTTGATACAGACATTACGAAGAGAACGCTAATTCTATCGACATTAGAAATGTCGCCGATGATTATCGAGTTGCGCGAAATGCAATAGAATAAAACGTAATAAAATAATACATAATAAAACCGTTCGATATAAAAAAGTCAAGCACTCTGGATTCGATCGAAGATATGAGACGGTAATTGCTAGAGATTATATTACACAAATATATAGCATTAGATTACATCATTATGCAATCTAATACTGTATCATTATTATGTCGTCATTATACAATCATTATGTATCTAATAAATATAAGTCTCTCTCTTATATTCGCGCTCTTATTTTATCCGAAATAATTTAGTTTACAGACTATTATTTCTCGAAACGAATTTTGCGGGTTACGCTTTAATTACATCTCCCCCTTTCTCTCTCTCTCTCTCTCCCTTTCTCTTCGATTTTAATCTAGTGTAGCAACCATCGCCTGCACGAACAATGCGATACACTCGGGACACGCGTATTCGTAACAGCGTATATATACTCAATATTTCCATTCGCTTCGAACGTTTCACTTACGAGACGAGACGATCCCGCCGCCCGCCGCTCGCGGTGCGCTGGGACCGTCGAATTTTTCGTGCTGCCACGGCAGCGTGCATGCCGCGTAGGATGCTTTGGGTACAAAACACGTGTCGGTAATTCAGCACAAACAGTCGCCATATAACTTTTATTTGCAAGATCGACGAGTAGCCTGATTGCAATCAGGCAAACGTGACCGAAAAATCCCAACGTGCGTTTCATATGGAGACCCAGTTTCGCCAGCGGCGACGCACTTTATTTCCTCCCTTTCTCTACGGCTTTATATCGCGTAATACATACTTTATGCCGCGGCATTAAGGGGTGCCGCTGCCCCCTGCCTCCCCCCCCTTCTCCCTCTCTCTTTCTCTCTTCCTCCCTCCCTCATCTCGGACACGTACGGCCCAGGCTCGTATTTTGAATACGGGCTGTCCGCCGAAGATAACCAACGGCCTAGCTTGACCATCCCCTCGCACCCTGACGACCACAGCACCCGCCGGGGGTGCGCAGCGATGATCCAGCGGCTTTTAATAATATTTCCGAATTTTTTTCCTGACTCACTGCCGCGGCTCATAGACGATTCTCTGTGACATTTTTTGCGCGGTACGCTAATCCCAAAGTATTGCGCTCTTTTTGAAAGCGATTTGTGAAATATAAATAGACGGTAGCGCATCGAAATGACTTTTGCTTGTGTCACACGGTTTAGCTCGCGGGAATATTTGAATTTTTTCCGCTCGTCCCGGATGCTATCTTTGCACGACCTTTTCCATTTGCTGGCTCTCGAAAAGCTAAGTACAACATGTCCGCGATTTGTTAGCAGGATTTTTTTAAGTTGATCCCTTAACTTCATAGCGTACGCTTACACATTACACGTCTGATATCATTTCCTCTCGGGTTCGTTACTTTAATAAATAAAATTCGAAAGTTTTAAAGTTTCATAAGATAAAATAATAATATCATATCACTCACCGATATAATACGTAGCGGTGGATTACGTGGTTGCGACTACGTTGAAACTGCCGTTGATCTGTAATACAGAAATACAGAAACATATATAAATTATAGCAATGCTCTGAATAATCAATATCTAGAAAAATATCGTTGCTTGCATATAAAATTATTATTATTATAACTGATTAATTCTGCAAGTAATAAATTTAAAATAATAATTTATTCACCCTAACGGGTTGCTCCGCCGTCGCCCGATATCTTCCAGACCACCTTCTCCTCTCACAACTCGTTCGTTGCACTCGTACAACACAACACTCGTGAAAGAACACTTACTTACGATCGCGCGTAATCATCAACGAGATGGGATAATCGCACGACACTTTGCGCGGCATTCCCGGCGCGAGTTAATTGACGACAAAAAATAACGTGAAACAAATAGGGGTCTCTCTCCGCTCGACACCGCCGCGAATTAAAACAAAAATATAAAAGCTCACACGGCTGCGGATTTCAACAAATCGCAAACACCGAGCTTATGTTACGCAGTTGAAAAATATTAAAACACGGTCTTAATTACGTGATTGCATTCAATCGCGATACCGCGTGACTCTCAAAGTCGATTCGTTTCATGCGACAACCGACAAATTCGAAAATAACTTTGGCATTCTAGTACCGTACGATTTATTATTAATACGTGATGCGTATTAATAAAGTCCTGTGTCAGTCGTAATGAGTCAAATTAAGAGGCAATCATACGTAAGTATACGTCCGAAATTTAATATTGCAAATGTCATATGTATACTTTAAATGCGTACATTTAATGAAATTCACGTATTATAAATAAACGCTCGGTGTCTGTTTTACGTCGCTTGAATCACGCGATCCGCGATACCTATTTACTCCGAAAGTGATGAGCGAATTAACCAAATTACGTCTGGATCAGCGAAAAGTACAAAGCATACCCGATGTGAAAAACATTCTAAGCGTCATTACGGGATTTAATTTATCGTCCGTATAAATACCGCGGTAAAATGATTTCAATTTAATTTACAGTAATTTATAGTTCAACCTAACCTGCAATCGCTCCGCGCGCGCGCGCGCGCGCTATTCTTAAATGAAATAATTAAGCGCGAAATGCTTATTGCTTACTTCGACGAATGATCGAATGTAATTCTGAACGATGGATCGCCTACGGCGATGGAGTCACCCATTCTCGCGAGTTTGCAGTCGTTATATAGTTAACAATCGAATTCGGTGTCTCTTATGCGTCGGCCGCGCGATCGCGTCCCATTGGGTAATGAGGCGACACGCGGAGCGGCTTATCCGGCAACCTGTAAACTCCGAGTCTCGCCGCGCGAATGACAACACGGCCGCGCGGCGACCTTGCGTACGCGCGACGTAACGTGCCGTTACCAAAACAAACACCAAGGCCGTAAACACAAATCGCCCAGTCCAGCCTCGCCACCGCAAAATATTGAACGAATTATGGAATAAATGTACGCCGAAATGTGCGTAAGTTCTTCGCTCCTTTTATTCTAAATTTCGATGAATGAGCCGTAAAGTGCACGTTTTACGCTTCGTTCTACAGAGCTCATTAGCGTCATCTGTCTTGTAAGACAATAACTTTTAGCGTTCTGTTCAACTCTACAAATCGGTGTCGGTTCTTATTTCGTCATCCAGAATCGAAATATGTTTTCTTGTCAATCAGGATTTAAATAATAATATTGCTTCAACATCAAAATGCTCTTGAATGGAATTATTAGATACGATAATGAGGCTCGCTTAAGATAGCGAAGCGCAAAATTTGTTTCACTTATCAAATACAATTTAAAATACAAGGAACGGTAAAAGTCGATATTTATCACGTATATTTACTTTGTAGTACGTAAAATATTTCGTAACGGTGAGATCGACTGGTGTTTGGTAGTGTACGGCACGCACGCAAGGTCGCTGCGCCGCGCGCCGTGTTATTATCATTGACGCGACGATACTCGAGCCTACAGCGGCGCAAAGCCGCTCCCGTGTGTGTTGCTTCATTTACCTATCGGAATCGCATCAAGTACATGCCAGGTATTATTATTTCTTACAATAGTTACAATCAGTGAATTGTCGCGAAAAATAGCAGTACGATTGTCGCACATTTAGAGAAAAACTTTCCTCCTAGTTTCTCAATCGAGTCGCATTTGCAAGTGTCGCCGTTATAGGTTAGTATAGGTTAGATATTGCGAATATCAATAATATTACGATATTTAACGATCAGTATCAAATTGATTTTGTTTATTAAATCATGTCTAGGACTAAGTTTTTCAACACGCTGCTATAAAATAGCGAGCGTCAATCTGCAGGTAAAATTCTCGTACTTAGAATGATATTTCGTATAATGGCATTACGTTACGATCGATCGCATCTACGGCGGCATCTCGGTTATTGTCAGTTCCCGGCTCCCGCGAGGGCCGCGAGATACGTTCGATGTTAATCAATAAAATATTCGATTCAAAGGGAACCCGCCCCTATCGCACGCGTCCGCGAATAAAAATTTGTCCTGATATAAAGTCGGCTCGATTAAAAATTTAGTTGCAGGAAATGTAAACTTTTATTTTCGCTAAAAAAAAATTGTAATTCCCGCAACAAATCTCACCGGTCGTTTCAAATATATTTCGCTTACGGCTGCGCAAATATTTATCCATCGAATCTAATTTTTTTCTGATAAGGATGCGATCGGGCAAATTATTTTCTTTTATCATACGTTTTCTTTTACTGTTGACCGTTCCATTGGTCATCGATACAATGATGTCTACGGAAAGTTACAAAACTTACTTTCCATGTATCTGTCATTTGACATTTTATGTAATATTTTATGCAACAGTCACATAACGATAGAAAATTAGAGCACTTATCATCGTTAAATTTAAATACGTTATAGATAATCGATATCGATATACATATATGTATATACGTACATGTGCTTATACGTATAAGTGTAAACACAACATAAAAATATCTTGGATATATTTATACTGCACAACCAATACATTTATAGCGCGCGAAATAAAATTTTGATTTTCAACCGATATTACATCAGTTTTTATTACGATGACATTCATTGTGCTATAATTTACTGGAAAAAGTCAGCTTTAGCTATTCATTGTAATTTGGTGTTTCCGCTGCTGCTTATTGCTATCTTTTTTCAAAACGCTGTCACGCGTTCGCCACATAATGTAAGAATAAGAGAGTGTCCGGTGCACCCCGGGGGTGGGGGGGAGGGAGTGAAACCACACTGCGGTTCGTTCCAAACGACTCTTTGCAGCCCGCCGACCGCTTCATTATCCCTAAAACTACGGAAAGGCGTACATATGATCGTTTCATTCGCATACAAAGTGAGTCTCCGCGTTCTTATGGTTATTTATCGAGCCGTCGACCCGCGGAAAACCCAGGCAGGGGCGTCCGCGCCGACAAAGGAAAAAAAAGCGTTGCGTATGTGTGGCGCGGGTCGCCGCCATTTCTGATTGAATCCAGGCTTGGAGCTTATATTTTGTCATCCATTGGCGCCGTCGGCGGCATGAGTGCAGCTAAAAGAGTCGAAACGGCGACGGGGGGGTGCCGTAAGGGGTGCAGAAGGGAGCCGTTCGGGGAGTGAGCGCGCTTCGGAATCGAGTGGGGACTGTTTGCCAACGCGAATTTTAAAATCACGAATTTTTAAAAAGCACCCCGCGGCCAGATTCTCTCCGCTAACGCGGTTACGTAGTCTCGATGTGAGTATACGTATATATATAGGTAGATATGTGTACGTTTGTATATATGTATACATATGTATTTGAGTTAGATGTATATGTGTATTTTATATATATCAAATTTTTTTATATATACACATACGTACATATATACATACATACACTTACATACATATTATATATATATATATATATATATATATATATATATGTATATATATGTATGTATATCTACAACGTCGCCGCACTATACGCATTTATCCTGCATATCTGTAAATGCATTGAGCTACACCGGTCCCTCTACCAAAAAATTTGATCATTTTTCACCTTTCTTCTTTCATATCCTATCGAAATACCACATCGGAATGCTTTCGGATATTTCCTTTCTCATTTGCCGCTTTCCTTCCTTCTCATCCCGTTGATGCTATCAATGATGATCCTTTAATTCCTTTTCGATTGCTTATATATTTTGAAAGTAATCTATTTTTTTTTTTTTTTAAATAAACGTTCTAATTTTGAGAAAATCTTTTATCAGATTATAGAATTAATTGTGAAATAATTCAGTGAATAGGCACTTGTTATTTATTTACCGTCTAATCAGTTAAAGTGGCAAAAATTTATTGCTATCTTATCAATATTTTGAAAGAAAAGATCTTTTTCTGGAGTATAATCGAGATTGTATTACGTATCATATTTCGAATTCTCCTTTTATCGTGAAAAAAATGTTACATTCTATTTCTTTTATATACATAAAATTTATCACAGCGATATGATTAGTCATTTTATATTGCGTATTTTCACACAAAGAATAGAGTGTTCTATATTCGCAAAAATAATTACTGTTTACCGAGTAATTAACGTATATGTGAATACCCGGTGGGGTGGGATATACCGCGGGGGAAAGAGAGACCGCGTGAATATTTAGCAACAGGCGCTTCGGCGCAATACGCTTCGCGTATTCGCGGAGGTTCCACTTTATTCGCGAGACAGCTCTATTTTTTATTCGCAAATAAATGTGTCCCCCTAAAAATAATATTTAACGTTCACGTAATGTGGAGCCCGCGGGACGGATGCGAGGAAGGTATATTTTGACAGCGTTGTACCGACGCAATGTTTTTCTTCCCTTCGAGCAACATGGACGCGCGTTGAACTTTGTATTCCGCGCGAGGAGAAAATGATTAAAAACCTCACGGACTATTTATGTTTCGTGCCATCATCCAATTTCGGAATTCGAAGGTAGCTGCGTAACACTGCGAATCTGCCGTCGTTTTTAACCAATAAGAAGATTGTGAGCATCGACAGGTTAACGAGTTTCGTTTGGAATTCGTATTTACTTTTGGGGTATAATCTTTCGAACTATATGAAGAATATTGAAAATAAATAGAAAGTGAGAAGAGAGATTTACTAGCAGCTATGCATAACCCGTATTTTTTCTATTTATTATTCCGTATAGAAAGAAGAATGTCGGTGTTAAGTAACTTAATTCATAAATCAGAATGTGTTAACAAAACTGGGACCACAGTGTTTCGTAACTCTAAAATTATAGCGTTTGCATAAAAAAAATTGTTCCCTTAATAAGACTTCAGTCTGGACGTAAAAGAATTAAAATTTTCATTAAAATTTTGAGAAAATTATTACCTACATTTAATCCATTAATTCGATAACTATATTGATGTCGAAATGTAATATAATATATATACTTAAACTGCGCGAGAAAACTCAGCAGTGGGTGAGCAGCCGGAAAGTTTGGCTAGCCACTTCGCACCCCTTCTCCCTCTCTCTCCCCCCCCTCCATACGTATCGATTCTCGAGGTCAGGCACATGCATAATCTTACCACCACGTACATAATTTCATATGCATGTGTACTAACACACGCGCGCTTTCGTAAAGGGCCCTCCTGCGCACAAGGAAGGGATAGATAGTGGGTTCTATGTACATGCATATATTCCTGCATAAATATATTAGGCCGACGAATACGTTTCGACCGATGGGATCCGAAGAGGGACAGAGACCGCGAGGCAGAAATGGATAGGCTGCCGCGGAGGAGCGAAGAGATCGCCGCATATGAAAGTATCTATGAAGGCACTTTGAATTTTATATCCTGCCGAGGCGGTCAACATTTAAATGAGCCGATCGATCGACATTACCTTGGGATATGACGCGGGTACGCGCCGAAGAGGCGCGTGGCCGGAGGCACGTCGAAGGACGGCGGCAGTCCGAGAAGGGTCGCGAGACGTTTTCAAATTTGCGAGAATTCTTCCCGGAGGAACCGCCGAATTTTTCTCGAGGAATTGAATGTGGTCCACCCTCTTAGACGATAGATGAAATATTCGAGTCTCATTGCGAGAGATTGCGGACAAATTAAAGCTGGTTCTTCCACGCAATATCAATTTTATTTTGACTTGGCAGAATTACGAACTGTAAATTATTTTGCAATTTTCTACGAATAAAATATATACATTTGTATACATTCGAAATAACATTCGTTTATTACATTAATTATTAAAAGAAAATATTTTGAAAATTTATTCGCGATGTTTGGAATGTATGTATAATGCATGTTGACATTGCAAACTGCGCTAAGCGTGAGATATGAATTTTATTAGTACACAGCTGTGTATGCAGCTCGGTGGATAAATGAAAAGTGTTAAGTCTATGCTTCGAATCTCGCTTTTATGCAGATATTCTCGCCGGTATTGTAAATACGTTCACGTCGGTGAGAAAAGGTGGCGAGAGACCTTGTGGCCTCTACATACCGTAAGAGCGTATAAAGTGGGCAGCTTCCGAGTTTCCAATAATCTGGCCTGGAAACGCGATTTATACGAAACGGTAAACTTAATAACGCAATTTCGCGAGGGTGCGCGACCCGCTGACGGAGCCGGCCGAACAATTTAAATAAACAAATTATAAATATTCGTTCGCGCGAAACCACCTCAGCATGAATAATCATTACGTCGTAGATGGGAAGCAAGGCACTGCCGATTCGATTGATTAAATTTTTAATAATTCATTTGCATTCGACCGGCATACCTCCGCCTCCGCACTTTCTCAGTATCTCTCTCACTCTTTTGCCCGTCATCTCTCTTTCCTTTCGTCACTCCCACACTCTTTCTCCCTTTCTCCCGCCGTCGTTCTCTCTCGGGTCGCTAGAGCCGACCCCTTTAATATATTTTTAAATTACATTTTTAATGGACGCAACAAATGAATTATCGATTGTTTTGCCTCGGCACAGTCGGCTAATAGGGTTATTATTAATGCGCTGCTCCAGTTCTCGCATTCGTATAAATACATTATACAAAGTATCCGCAGAAAGATTCGCGGAAATAAGCGCGAAATGC